TTTCCATATTACCTTTAATAAAACTTCCATACCTATGTGCAAATCACTCATACCTATGTTCAAATCTTAAGGAGCCCTGGTAGCTTAGTATTACAAGTTGGACTGCTAACTTCAAAGTCAGTTGCTCAAATCTACCAGTTGCTCTGTAAGGGAAAAAGAAGGTTTTTTGCTTATGTACAGATTTATCACCTCAGAAAACCTCTACCTTTGCTATGATTCAGAAGAATTTGGTGGCACACAAGTCTGTGTGAAAATATTAATATAAATGTCAAACTTTAGATATTTAAATTATTATTTCATTTAATATTTATTTATGTGCTGGATCTCCTTAAATCCTTCACTAAATTATATGATACTGAGGATTAGAAAAGTGGATCTAATTATTTTGAATCTTCCCTCAGTCAGGCCTTAGGAAACTAAGGGAGCTGTCTTTGCAAGTCAAACTGACATTTCTTTCTTGTTCTCTATGGTGTGTCAGAAGAGCATAAATGAGATGACTTTACAGTGACAGATAGCAAAGGAGTTCCTACTTTCCTCATGTAGAAACCTGGTTTCTAGGCTATTTCTGGCTTTTTTGTGTCAGTTTGGACCTAACAAGTTAAATGTCAGTTTTACTGTCTTGTGGTGTGCTCAACCAAGACCTTTCACACAGTCCTGAGAAGGAAGTCAGGCTAAACAATCCCACTTGGGCTTTGAGAAGAGGGTGGGTATCTATGGTTAAAATTTATTTTATAAGTCATCTTACTGATTACTTTATGAGAAAAAGCAAACAGAAAACAAAAGAGAAGAATGATGGGGAAAAAACTGATGCACGGTCTCTAAAGAAAGACACTTAAAAATTACAAAGTCATAAATTTTAATGTAAATGTTCTGTTCTTGATCTCATTAATAGACAAAATGAGAAGAATCAAATTATACAATTTTAGATCTGGAAAAAATCTTCAAGAGCATATATTCCAACTCAAATCACATACAAGGATGGGATGATGATGACATTATAAAAATTGTTGTTGTTGTTATTGTTGTTAAGTGCATTCGAGTTGGTCCTGACTCATAGCAAACCTGTATAGGGTTTCAGAACAGCTGGTGGGTTTGAACTTACAATCTTGTGGCTTGCAGTTCAGTGCCTATCCTACAGTGCCATGTTGCTGTTGTTAGAGCCATCGTGTCAGTGCCAACCCATAGCGACACTGTATAGGGTTTTTGAGGAGTGGCTGGTGAGCTTAAACTACTGACCTTGCAGTTCAAATAGCTTTGCAGTCTGGCACATTAACTCACAGTGCCATACCAGGACCCTGGTGTGCCACCACAGTGCCATACATGCTTACATTTTCTGTATTATGCATGCTGTCAATACAGTGAAATATATTTGTTGTTGTTGTCATTGTTGTGTGCCGTGGAGTCGGTTCCGACTCATAGCGACCCTGCATAGGGAATCCGAGGCTGTAAATCTTTACAGGAGCAGAAAGCCTCATCTTTCTCCAGTGGAACAGCTGGTAGTTTCGAACTGCTGACCTTGAGGCTCGCAGCCCGATTCCTAATCACTACGCTACCAGAGCTCCTATATTTAGTGGATATTATTGGTTCCTTAGTAAGTATTCATTTTCCCCTACTTCATTTCTAATAATATCATCTGTGTATTTTGAATGACTCTGAAGCACACAACAATATACATATATTCCTTTAATTTCCAAATGTCCTGTTATGTTGGTCATCTGACTAATATTGGACAGTAGAAAGCAAATGTAAGCGATATCCCAAGTGTTAGAGATATACCCTGGTGTGGTGCTGTGTGTTAATGCACTGGACTGAAAGGTCAGTTTGAACAGCAAGTTCAGTGGTTCAAGATCACTGGCTGCTCCTTGGAAACCCTATACAGGGTCGCTATGGGTCGGAACCAACTTGAGAGCACTTAACAACAACAACAACTACTTCAGAGCCTTGGTATGGTGTTGTGGGTCAATGCGCTGGATTGCAAGGTTAGTTTGAACTGCAAGATGAGTGTTTCAAGTTCACCAACTGCTCCTCAGAAACTCTATACAGGGTCACCTTGACCTGAACCAACTGAACGGCAGGTTGGTTGGTTGGTCACTATGATCTGAACCAACTCAATCGCATTTAACTGTTACCGGAGTTCCTCTGAAGGAGTTGCCAACGCCATGCAGGTTTTAACTGGGTTAGCGGGGGTCAACAGCCTCATAGGGCTACCTGGGATTGGTTGGTTCAAACATATGGCAGGAAGGATGTATGAGCATACAAAACAGAAGCGGAAGCAGTTGGACTTTAGCTCCGGGCTCTGTTCCCTCCCGGAGGTAGGTCAGGAACAGGAGATTACCTCAGGGTAATCACATGAGGCTGAGCTGGTCTGTTGCTTATTTCCTGGACTGTGAACCTTGCTCCAGGAATGAGCTATGAGCCTGGAGGGGGGTGGCGGGAGGGTTGGGGAGGCCAGCACCTATTTCTGCAGGCCTGCCTGCCTCATAACAACAACAGTGCATCATTTCTAGGCTCAGAGAGAGGTGAGTGTAGTATACTGGGTGTGTTTTCTACCTTTATGTTCTTTCTGCTAGCTGGATGATGCTAAGGTAACCTGAAATTTTGAAGATGGTGGAGCCATGAGATAGAAGGATCTTGAGTTCAGAGTCAGTATTTAGAAAACACTTACTAGATCTGCATTGAAATGAGTAAGAAATGAACTATGTTAAACTCTTAAGCTTTTGGTGTTGTTGACTTGATACTGAGGCATAAACTAGTCTGTCCTGACTAATGAAAAAATGAATATTTTGGTTGGTATTCAGTTTTAACAACAACAAAACTGAAGCCTGAAACTATGTAGCATTGGGTTATAGGTTAAGCAGCATCTGGTTAGAAAATTATGTCTGAAAAATGTCTGAGTGAAAAATTGGAGATTGTGTTATGCAGAGGTAAAATGTTTTACAAAGGGACTTCTGCTATAAAGAAACTGGTAGGCTGAATATACTGAATTTATAACACTAGGGTAACTGCTTGGATAGCAAACTTTTAGTAGTACATGCTAACTAATTTGGCTGCACGAATCAAGATTACATGATAAAAGATTTTGCAAGTAGAGGGAAAAAAGTATAAACTGAGTTGAGAAATTCATATCCTTAAATGGTTGAAAAAAGCTTATTTTTTATGTACAAAGAACATTAATAGTGGGTTTAAGAAAAACAAGGCCAGGAAAACTTTTCAGTTGATTAAAGTAACTCAGGGTACATCTTCTCAGTGAATAATGCTATTCAAGGCAAAGATAAGGATAAGGTCATGATCTTACCATCTACTGTATTAGAAAGTCTCAGTACAGTAGCTCTTACATTGAAAAAGGGATGGATGTTCAGAGTTTATGACACAAAATCAATCAGATTCTAGAATTCTGTGAAATAAAACAGTTTTGCTTGTAGTGACTGCCCGTGGAACTAAACAGAAACCTAAATCTTTGAGATAATTTTATTGGAAAAATAATGCAAACAGAAAACATACCCAAAATAAACACTGATGTTTGAGTTTTAATATGACCCCTCTGGCTGCCAGACTTTTATGAGCAGTAGGCAGGCTTTAAAGTTCAGTGTAGAAATATCTAAATAGAACAAATGAAAAGGCAGAATATCCAACATAGCAGAACCAGCAATTCTAGTGTATAATGGACAGAGAGTAATAAAGAATTCAATTAAAATACTTCCTCTTTGACTTGGGTAGCGAAATTTCATGATGTCATGATGTCAACAATTCGGAACTACCAGCTGTTCCACGGGAGAAAGATGAGGCTTTCTGCTCCTGTAAAGATTTACAGCCTCGGAAACCTTGTACAGGGTCGCTATGAGTCGGAACCGACTTCATGGCACATAACAACAACAACAACACAGCTAATAACAGAGTCATGGTGTGGCACTGTGGGTTAATACACCAGACTACAAAACTGTTTGAATAACAAGGTGGACAGTTCAAGTGTACCAGCTGCTCTTCAGAAACCCTATGCAGGGTCGTCATGGGTCAGAACGGACTCCAAGACACTTAACAACAACAGCAACAGCTAATAACAGTGTCTGTTGCATTACCTACATGGAAGTAGCTAGTGATTAAACTTTCTATTGTATGTTGAATGTGTATGTGAGAAAATAATCTCTTCTTTGAATTAACAAATTTATATATTGAAGTAGTTAGTGTGATTAGCCAGTCGAATGTATGTTGGATGTGTATGTAAGAAAATAACCCATTTTTGAGTTTACAAGCTGACAATCTAGGGAGAGACACATTCACATCTAATTGAGAAGCCCCTGATCACTTGGATTTTGCAATAAATGCAAATGAGCTGTAGGGTTGTATCTTTGAAAAGTAGATGAGTGTGTTCTATATGTCAATAGAAGAAATGAAAGGGATTTTCAAACAGGAGATAGAAAACTTTGAGTGCTCTACAAGGTACCTCTCAATATTTCTAGCCTTCATTGTATTCATATTTGCCTTGGAATGTGAATAGAAATGATGGTAGTTTAAATGTCCAGTGCCTCTCACACCTTGTTCTCTTTCTCAAATACTCTGAACTGATGATTAAGGGGTACATTTAAGGCATAAACTGTATTGGGAATTCCTATATAGTCTGGGAGAGAGTAACTTACCCAACTTAAGCCTGTGATTTGAGCAAAAAATGTAACTGCCATTACACTAAGAATAAATTGCATCAGGAAAGTCTAGCCTATTTTGATTATTTTAAAATTTGAATACAATATCTGGTCAAGAGATAGGATCCAATTTTATATTCCATCTCCACGAACTTAATCCTTTACTGAAAGTTGTCTTGTGGTCTTTTCTAGAATGCTGAACAAATGTTTTGCACCTCTTCTGAGTTCAGAATAGTTGTAGTCATTTTGTAACCATATATGAAGACAAATGCCAAGTAAAGCTGGCATGGTAAGAGACAGTGGAGGTGCTTTCTCTCTCTTCCGGTCCCTGGAGTGCCAGGAGTTACGGACCTCGGTGCAGACATGGCCAAGTCCAAGAACCACACCACGCACAACCAGTCCCAAAAATGGCACAGAAATGGTATCAAGAAACCCCGATCACAACGATATGAGTCTCTCAAGGGGGTGGACCCCAAGTTTCTGAGGAACATGCGCTTTGCCAAGAAACACAACAAGAAGGGCCTGAAGAAAATGCAGGCCAACAACGCCAAGGCCATGGATGCACGTGCTGAGGCTATCAAGGCTCTAATAAAGCCCAAGGAGATTAAGCCTAAGATTCCAAGGGGTGTCAACGGCAAGCTCAGTCGACTGGCCTACATTGCCCATCCCAAGCAGGGGAAGCGTGCTCCGGCACGCATTGCCAAGGGTCTGAGGCTCTGTCGGCCAAAGTTCAAGGCCAGTGCTAAAACTAAGGCTGAAGCTTCAACCAAGGTCTCAACTAAAGCTCCAGTCAAGGACTCAGCTAAAGCTCTAACCAAGGCCTCAACTAAAGCCCCAGCCAAGGCCTCAACTAAGGCCCCAGACAAGGCCTCAACTAAGGCCCCAGCCAAGGCCTCAACTAAAGCCCCAGCCAAGGCCTCAACTAAAGCCCCAGCCAAGGCCTCAACTCCAGCCCCAGCCAAGGCCTCAACTCCAGCCCCAGCCAAGGCCTCACCTCAGGCTCCCAAAAGTGCCCAGGCCCCCACAAAGATGGAATAGAGTTCTCCATCTGAGGACAGAGGGATTGGCATGACCCTTTGGGCTACCATCTGTATGGAGCTGGTGCCCTCCTGTGCTGTTTGTACAAATAAATATGAGGCAGGAAAAAAAAAAAAAAAGAGAGACAGTGGAGGCAAAAAATGGAATTAGATTCTTGATAAGGATTGCTGTTGAAAAAACCCAAAAACAGAAACCCTGTTGAGCAGCCTCCCTTTGTTCTTCAAAATACACAAGTCACCAGAGCATGTTTATGGTTTAAGTGTGGTAAGTAAGATTGTCTATAACTTGCAACTGAACACATCTTAATAGATATCTACTGTTATTATTCCTGTTTTGTTGATGAGGAAATTAAGGTACAGAGAGCTGAACGGAGAGACAAACTGAATTGTCTAACATCATACAACCAGTAAGTAGTTTTACCAGAAGTAGAAACCCAAACTTACCAACTCTAAAACCTAGCTTTAGTTACTATGTATTTTGATATTGTTTCTCACTTTGTTATTCTGACAATCTGTCATGGAGTTTCAGAAGCAAAAACATCGAGAAAACAGAATTCCTGTCTCCCTCGATACCATTGTTTTCAGATCTCTTACTTCTATTTTAAGTAAGCCAACAGATTCCTCTATTCAGGTTCTGATCATAATGAAGGGGTCTCTATTACTATAGCCATAATAACACAGCCCAATGATTATTGCATTTAAGTTCTCTGCCTTTTCTCAAGAATAACTATGGAAAAGGTAGCATGCTATAGTAAATACAATATAAAAAAACAACCATCAGCTGAACAATGATGCTTTTACCAGGTTTGGACAGGTACATGACTAAATTAGTAATTGTATTTGATAAACCATGATAATAACCTAAATCTTTAGGTCACTATGTTTAACTATAACAACAAAAACTATTTTAAGAGTGTGAAGATGTGATGTGCTTAAAAGAATACATGTGTGTGAGAATCTAGAGGTGTTTGGTATGAACATGGTAGAGAGAGACTTTTTCCCATAGGTATTTGGTCACAGTTTACAAGTTCTTGCTGATAATTGAGAATCCTAAAATCTAGGGAGGGGGAAGAAAGAGGGTAGTCAAGAGGAAAAACAAACAAACAAAATGTTTATTTTGCATTTTACCAAGTGGATACCTTGTGCAAACTTTCACTTTTAGAGGCATGAGATTCATATATCAAAGGCATAGCTCAGAAGACAAGAAGCCACAGAAAAGAAGGACAAATGAAATGGGAACCAGAAAAGAAGTAGGAAGGGTGTTGTTACATTATGGGGATTGCAATCGATGTCATGAAACAAAGCGTGTAAGAATTATTGAATGGAAAACTAACTTGCTCTGTAAGCTTTCATCCAAATCACAATAAAACATTGACAAGCACAAATAAAGTACAATGTATTTTTATTTCTTGAAACACATAGATTTTTCTTTTTCTATAATTATAAATACAAGTTTATCCTTCAAAATAAAAATGAAAAACGGATAATCCCAAATTATTTTGCCTCCATTCAAATTATACTAATACCCTTCTTTAATTATTGGTATTCATTCTCCTTTAAAATGCCACAGGAAGATAAAACTAAGTGGGAACACTTTTCAGATACTGTAAATTTTAAAGGCAATATATATCAGCAGAATATAAGAAATGTATAGCAGAATATCAGAATCATAAATTGTCAGTCCTGGAGGTACCTCCAAACTTACCTAGTGTAATGGATTTGCTTGGAGTTTTTTATTGTTTTCTCTCCAGATGAAACACAACTCAACTACTCTGAAAAAGCATTGTGCCCATGGCAAGTCCACAACAGACCTATTTCATTTTAAGTTATACACACACACACAAATTCAAACCAGCACAATTATTTCACTCAGTAATCATTAAAGAGAGTATCTGTCAAGGCTCTTTAATGGCCTCTGGTTGCTCTATTTTTACCAGCCTCTAGAAACTACCAGAATCCTGGTGTGTTGCTGTGGGTTAATGGGCTAGGCTGCAGGGTTGATCTGAACCACAAGGTCGGTGGTTCAAGTTCACCAGCCATTCCTCAGAAACCTTATAAGGGTAGCTATTAATTGGAATTGAATCAATCAATCACTTAACAACAACAGCATAGACTAACTCTCTGTAGGATCAGCACTGGACTGTGAATCACAAAATAAAGCAGTTTAAATCCACCAGCTACTCCTCAGAAACCCTATATAGGGTTGCTATGAGTCAGAACAACTTGATGGCCCTGAATAACAACAACAACTAAGTCAACCCAAGGAATTAAGTCTAAAGCTAGAAAGGGCTGGAATGGTGTCCTACCAACCTATAACAGAGTTGAATTAAATTCCTTTTTCACTATTCTTAGGATCTCTCAAAAGGAGTCTATCAAATGTCTGAACTCAAGAGTGATGGGAAAGAAGACAAGAGAGAAAAGAGGAGAGGGTGAGGGACCAAACCTCAGGGCAAAAGAATGCACATAGCTCTTTACTTTGCTAAGTTACAACCATTGAAAAGGGAAGAGGTTAATATGTCTGGCCAAGGCATAACCTTCTCATAAAGATTAGCATCTTTTAGAAGTTTTTCCAAGTATGCCCTCAGTCAATGTTTTTAGTGACTCTTAAACTTGTCAGAGAGACTGGATGTAAATCTAAAAGCTCTTTCTGTTATTATGTCATTATTCTAGGCTAACACTGCCCATGGGTCAACCCCAATTCATAACTGTTTTTGTATTGATAATGCCTATGTTTTTAAATAGAGTCCTCTTTGTTTGTGGTACTGTGGGATAAACCATTAGACAACAAGATCAGTTTCAAGAACAACATCAGTGGTTCAAACTCACCAGTCATTCCTTGGAAACTCTGTATATAGTAACAATGATTTGGAATTGATTCAATAGCACTTAAGAACAACAACAGCTACAATATTTTTAATGGCTGAAAAAAATCAACATATTAGTCATAATTATATGTATTTATGCAAACTTTTAAAACTGAGATACTAGCATAACTGAATTGTATGATTTCAGGCCCAAATTAAAACCCCAGGTTGGACCAAACTGCAGTTTGGCCTACAGTATTTGCTCCTGCTCTTCTGAAAAGAAAATTTAGCCTCTTGTAAAAATGTATTTATTGGAATTCAGAATGAAGCAAGGATCAGATTTTAGTTTGCACTGGTGGTGGTTGAGTACCACCAAATCTGATCTGACACATAGCGACCCCACGTTGGGCTTCTGAGGAATGGGTTTGAACTACCAATTTAGCAGTTAGCAACTTGGTGCTTATCCTACAGTGCTACTCCAGGACTGCACTAGGATTTGTTTATTAAAAGATTTTGCCATAGAAAGAATACTTTAGTAAACTTTTCCAAAGAAGTGGAAATATAGAATTGTTAATGTTAATAACTACCACTTGTATGTCAGTTTGTCATACTATAGTGACTTGCGTTTTGCTGTGATTATGAAAGCTATGCCACCAGTATTTTAAATACCAGTAGTACCACCCAGAGTGGACAGGTTCCAGCTGAGCTACCAAACTACGACGGACTAGGAAGAAGGAGATACGAAATAGTTCCAAATATTTAGTCACTGAAAGCCTTACAAATACAGTGGAACACTATCAGAGAGCACCAGAATATTGAATATTGAAATGTGATGAATATCACCCGTGTATTGTCAGTTAGAGCCCCTCAGGTTGGAAAACACTCAAAATATGAATGGGGAAGACATTGCTCCTTAAAGTAAGAGTTGACCGTGATGACATGAATGGAGTAAAGACTTCAGGACCTTAATTTGCTGCTGGGACATAACTCAAAACGACAAGAAACATCTGTAAACACCCACTCTTTGAAGTAAGAATCTAGGAAAATTGAAAATGGTAAAAATTGAAAAAGAACACAGAAACATTGATATACTAGACATTAATAAGCTGAAATGGATAGGTATTAGCCACTTCAAATCAGACGATCATATGATTTTCTATGCAGGGAATGACAAATTGTAGAGGAATGACATCACATTCATTATCAAAAAGAACATTTCAAGATCTGTCTTTAGGTACAATGTTGTCTATGATAGGATAATAACCACAAGCCTACAAGGAAGATCAGTTAATAGACCAATTATTCAAATGTACACACCAACCACTAAAGCCAGGGATGATGAAATTGAAGAATTCTACTAATTTCTTCAGTCTGAAATTGATCAATCATGCAATCAAGATGTATTGGTAATCACTGGTGATTGAAATCCAAAGGTTGGTAACAGAAAAAGGATCAGTAGTTGGAAAATATGGGCTGGGTGACAGAAATGATGTAGGAGATCACATGATAGAATTTTGCAAGATCAATTAATTATTCATTGGAAATACTTTTTTAAACAATATAACAGATTATGATACACATGGACCTCACCAGGTGGAATACAGAGAAATCAAATTGACTGCATCTTTGAAAAGAGATGATGGAAAAGCTCCCTATCAACAGCCAAAGCAAAGCTAGAGGAAGACTGAGGAATCAACCATAAACTGTTCATATGCACATTCAGGCTGAAGTTGAAGAAAATTAAAACAAGTCCACAGGAGAAAAAATATAACCTTGAGCATACCACTAAAAAACTGGACACTAAAAACAAACAACAAGAGAGTTGTGGGATGACATCAGACAGGAAGAAAGCAAAAGGTCATTAAGAAGAAAAGAAAGAAATAAAATATAAAAATAATTGTGAGGAACGATTCTGAAACTTGCTCTCCAGCATAGAAATTCTAGAGCATATGGAAGAAATGAGGAGGTTAAAAAGCTGAATAGAAAATTTCAAAGGGTAGCTTGAAAAGACAAAGTCAAATATTATGATGAAATGTACAAAGACTTGGAGTTAGAAAACGAAAACGTAAAAACATGTTCAGCATTTCTGAAGCTCAAGAAACTGAAGAAAAAAATGCAAGCCTCAATTTGAAATATTAAAGGATTCTATGGGCAAAATATTGAATGATGTAGAAAGCATCAAAGAAGATGGAAGGAA